TATTGCAAAATGATTATCAGCATATCATTAACACCTGCCTCACTTCATATAATTGTTACTTCCTTTGTGTGGAGAATAATTCTTAATCTTCAACTTCTGTATGTGTCTTCCCTTTTGTTTCATGTTTCAATTACTTTGATAACCCATACAGAACACAGAATTTGCACATACTAAGCAGTAAGAAAGTGTTTGCTGAATGAACATGTGAATTCACTCCTCCCTTTTTCTATATAAAATAACTGGCGAATATAAGAGCAGTTTGAACACATTGTGGCATGTAAACAAAGGAACCCCACTTTATATTCGGTGGGATATCATGCCACATATTAAGGTGAATAACATCTTAAGCATTCTCTTAATGAAAATAGATTTCAAATGAAGCTTTTTGGCTTTTCTCATATAGCAAACATATTAAAATATAGAAGATAGTATTTTAAACATTATTATTTCCAAAGGATTTTAATATTTATATATCCTTAAATCAATGTGACCAAACCTTTCTCCCATTACAGAGGATTATAAGAAGCCCCATATATTTCATCTAAAGAATCCAGCTAGATCTTAAGGGGAAAGGTGCTTAATGAATTTCCAGGTGAACAGAAAGTAACTCAGGCTGTTGCTATGGTGCTTTGACACCACTTGGTAGCAATTTTTGGACTTAACAGAAAAGAAGATAAATGAACAATACAGTAAAATGTTCCAAGGAACTGCAGTCATTGTTCTAAGAATAATTCCATTGCTGTCTGAGGATCTGAGAATAAATTAGCTCAAGACATGCACATAAAAAGAATCTTTTAAGTATCTGATAAGCACCTCAATATGGATCAGCCAAATAATAAAATCTACGTGACATCTCATCAGAAAAGGTTTCACTTTTACAAATATCATGATAACCATTTCCCTGCTTATGCAATTACAGGGTTTTAGATAAAGCAATCATTATAGCAAGTTGTCATCATTCCTCCCAAATACTGAAGACTTAAGTGGACATCTTTGTAATATAGTTGTCACTAGTTTGAACAGTTTTGTAACATTCGAGTCACAGCACCTGCTAATTAGTTCTGTGGGATTGAAGTTTATTGTAACGAAGGCAATCCTGCTAAAGATGTTTTAATTGTAAAAACAACTTTAATTACGTATATGGTTCAAAGTGTTCACACTAAGTTATACACACACACAGAGCACACATGCACACATATACACCAAAAGAGCTTCATAAAAGCAGGAATATTTGTTTTGTTCACTATTATAATCCTAGTTCCTAGACCAACAAAGGAATCCCCTACATTTTTGTGTAGAGTATCAAGTTATAACCCTACAATGGCTAACTAAGACTTTCCTTGGACAGAAACTGAAGTTCCCTAGTGTTACATTGAAGAGTGAGGTTCTGTTTTCCTTTACTTCATTTCCATGTTCTATACTTCTCTATGTCCCTGTGAAATCTACTCTGTTCAGTTTGGACAACTAATAATCTTGAGGATGATATTAATGGTGTTTTTATAAGCTTACTATGACCAGAAACTGAGCCTATATTTACATTTTCATTTAACTCACACCACAGTCATCAATCAGGTGATGTTGTAACTCATTTAATAGATGAGATGAAGCAAAGTGAATTTCAGAAAGGTAGGTACTTTGAGTGGAGGAGCTGAGTTCATATATCAAGTGCCTCTAACCAGAAGCCTTGACCTTCATCACCTTATCATATCACTCTCTGTGACCTCTTGCTCCCAAAGCCCTCCTCACTGCAGCAACCACGCCCCTCCCTTATGTCTCAAAATCCCCACTTCCCACTTCCCTTTCCCCAACCTGCCAGGGCCAGAGTCCATCCTTTCTATACTGGAATCAGGATGCCCTCTTCAGGCAGGATGGCTGACGCATCAACTCACTCCACTATAACATAAATACGTATTCAAGTAGTAATTGTTCTGAGTAAAATGTTTCCATTTTAAAACTTTAATCTCTGGCCCTCCCTGGTGGCGCAGCGGGTTAAAGCACAGCACAAAGAAGCTTAAACCACTTCCACATGAGTTCGATTCCTGCCTGCCCTGGAAGTGATCCACATGGCGAGGCAGACCTCTCCTGACCCGCCTGCTGCTCCCCTCAGCAGTGTACTTCGTCAATCTGCCTGTTCTGCTCCTCGCTCTGTCTCTGGTGAATCCTCTCACCCTCCGCATCTCTGACCTGTACCCCAGTTCTGTACGAATAAATAAATAAATCTTTAAAAAAAAAAAAAAAGATATACATAGTGTAGAAAGAATCAACTTTATTAAAAAAAGAAAATTAGGCATGCTGAATTATGTTCCATATTTAACAAAGATAAATAAAACAGTTATACCCTGAAAAATTGAAGTTGTGAAAGAAGCATTATCTTTTCATTATCTCCTTGATTGTTCCATAGAATAGTTACCTGTATGATGCTCTTTGATCCAAGAAGCACACAAGTAAAGAATTCTATAGCAGAAGGGAATTTCCATAAGTAAATCATGTCATTCCTAGCAAGATTTAAATGTGTAAAAACATTTTATTAGTAGAACCTGAGTTGGTGTGACTTCTTTCTTGGGATACTTCTATTTTACTTTTTAAAAAAAGGTCAGGATTTGTCTTGCTCAAGATGCTTTTTTAATTTGTTTTTCAGTAACATTGGTTTACAAAACTATATATGATTCAGAGGTATAGGATCACACCTCTTCAGATGTATGTTACCACACCACACCCATCACCAACACACCCATAAAAAATCCTCATATCCTCAATTTAGAGATCATTAGAATAGCAAAACACTTCATGAAATAGCGTAGCCTGCGTTAGCATCAATATGCAGCAATATTTTTCATCTCTTGTGCTGCCCCTCCCAGCTTCCCCAACAGCTCTTCCCTCTTCCAGTAATCCCAGCTCCTGCATGACACAAGCATCTAAAATTAGGAGTCAGTGTTTCTCTTTGTACTTGGTTGATGGTGTTAGAGCCATACCATCAACAAATTCTGCTGCTGCAATTTCCAAAATGTCACAAAATTGTGACATATTCTTCTCTCCACAGCCCCTGCCCCAATCCACCAACAGACTTCTTTCAACCAGACTACTTACTTCAAGTCTCCCCTGTGTTCATACTTTCAATATAAGTCATTTTCCATTGAAAAATTAAAATAGTCATTTTTAAAGTCTGGTTCTCTAACTCCCCTTACAAATAATGATTATATGTTTATATATTGTATAAAGAAAAGTGGAGCATACTTCTAACTAGTCACAAGTTGTGTTAGGAAGTAAAAATTTGTCAAAATAGTTAAATCCTCTTATTTCATTCTCTCCAATGAAGTTTTCCATTAACAACCTTCTAACATCCCTGCATTTATAAAATATGTATATTTTAATTTATACAATATGAATTTTTGTTGTTCTACTTCATATATCTCTAAGCAAAGCAATATATATATATATTTTACTTTTAAATTTTATATAAGTGGTATTATTTAATATATTGAATTTATCCTTTAGTAACTTGTTTTTTCACTCATTATTATGCTCATGATACTGATTCGTTATTTTTCACTAGTGCATTATACTCAAAATTCTCAATAAATAGTATTTCACTTATCCATTCTCCTCCTATTGATACATGTTTAAGTGATTCATATTTCCTTGTCATTACAATCAATGTAACCACAGACATTTTTATTATATGATTATCCCTCTGTACTTTTGAACGTTTACTCTTAGTTGTACTCTGAAGAGTAAAATACAAGCAACAGAGAATTTTATCTGCAACTTTATTTTGTAGAACTTCCCAGTATGGTTACTTGCAGTTATTCAGTTCTTTTGGAAGACACAGGCAGTTAGAGGAACACAAAAACTATAATCTCCCTCCCGAATTTGATCCAATGACTTTAACAATGAAAGCAAGTCTCGCTGATTGTAATTAACAAACAGGTCCAGAAATCGTCACTTTACTGTTAGCCCAGTGAAGTTCTAATTTTCTCCTTTGGCATAAAGTTATTTCATCAGAGTCATTCAAGGAAGCTGTGACAATATTTGAGAGGTGGGACTCAGGTCACTTCCAAGAGCCTAACCTAGTAGGACACTGCCTGGGGTCTGGATTGAAGATCAGATGGCATTCTGGGACAACACTTGCAAGGCAGCTGGCTTCACTAAGCAAGTTCTCCTACTGCATTCATGGCAGATGGGAGATGTCTTGTGCAATTTAGCCAACCCACTTGTAGTAGTGAGAGTACTACTACTACTATGAATGGAACAATTCATTTAGATATATTATTTCCTAATAACCATAATTTTTCTGCCCAGTTAAATCAGTGGACTTTCTTCCATTTTCCAAACCTTTACTTCCTTCTTATCAATGTGTGGCTAAATCTTGAAACAAAACTGGTCTCAAAGTAACAGTTTTAAAAATCTAAATAGGAAATAGTTAATAAATTTGCCAAAATGACATCAATAAACAAGCATATCAAGTCAAGTTTTACTATAAACATAATAAAAGTTATTATATATTTGAGCATAATAAAAAATAATTGCAACATACTCTGAATTTTAGTATGGAAAAATTCATTTAACTATTGATAAACCCCTAGTGTCATCTGAAGTTAAAGCTCATATATTTCTATTGTAAGGCAAAAGCAAACTGAATACAAGAAGATAACATTACAATTTTTAAACTGAAGAATTATGTGGGAAGGATCCTAAATGATCTTTGCCCCAATTTCCCAACAGATAAAGGGATTTCCTCCACAATAACTTCACATTTCCAGGACTAGAACTCACTGAGTCAGCTCATGGAATCTTTGATTTTCACATTAAAATTTTTTTTCTTATGTGGTACAAGCCTATTTTCTTTTTAAAGATTTATTTATTTATGCATACAAGAAGTGGGGTACATGCCAGAGGTGTAGGGTGTGAGTGGACCATCAGAGACAGAGTAGGGAGCAAAACAGGCAGATGTACTGAAAAGGCAGGAGAGATCTGCTGCACCATGTGGGTCACCTCCCTGACTGGGTATAAAACTTGTGCTGCAGTGGCTGTGGATTGCTTTATAGTGCTGCATTTTAACCTTCTGCAGCATCATGGAGGCCCCCAGTCTAAGCTTATTTTCTTATGATTTCCACCCATAAGTATATATAAGTATCCAAAGTAGTGATTTGATGACTCCAACTTTAAACATAACTGTAGGCAGCATCATTTCTATATAATGTTAATTTTTATAATAATGACTTTTTGCTTTGTTTCAGCATTCTTATTTCTAAAAATATCAATTTACATTTAAACCTAAAAAGTAAAAAAAAAAATGTTTACTTACGGAATACTGATAGTTTCTCATAATAATAACTTTATTTAGTAAACCTCCGTTTCTCAGCTTTCTGGAAATCGGAATTTGGCTTCATCATGATGAGAACTGACATCTACTAGTCATCTTTTATGTGAAGGCAAACCAGTTGCAAGGATGATGAGTCCTGCTCTCCTGGTTGACCTAAGGCTGTTGATTGTATGTCTTTGCCAGTAAGTTAAAGTACTGGGCGTACAATTCTTCTTCCCCTAAATCTTTCATCATCATCCTCATCTTTTCTACTTTTAATCTCCCACATAATCTGGAAGCAAACAAAAGCTCAAGATGAGCAAACAGCCACAGGGGAGTCTTTAAAGCAATGCCATGAATTAAATTTTTATCCACTCTTGGGATGTGGTGACAAAGAAAATACTGTGACAGCAGCCCTAGCTTATTTCTTTCTGAATATTAACCTTACAATTCACGTCACTGGTCATTTACTGTTTGGCACTGGGCTCAGACCTAGGTTTTGTGCTAGTAGTACAGTTGCAGTAAGTATGGCCTGTGAAATTCTATTCCTTAAAAGTTAATTAGACTAAAAACCCCCTTCACTCATGGAGGGAAGATAGCTAGACAATACATTAAGCTTTACAGCCTGAAAAGGGTCCTCCAGAGACTTGGAGTACCAAGTACTCTTGGTACTTCCCAAGAGAATGCACGCAAACAATACAAACTGTAGTTTTTATAGGTGACATTTAAACACTTCAGAATTCAGCTTACATGATCTTTTAACATGACACAATTAAAAGTGAGAAATTTATCCCATTAAGAATAATTGATCATAGTTAGGAAGAGGTCATTTCTTTATTGTATACATGACAATTTCAACAAGAATATAAATTAGATATAATTATATAAATTGGAAGAAAGGATATTCACATCTAAACATTCTTCTAGTAATAGGTGATTTAAACATTCAATATAATAAAAATTTAGAATGCTAAAAATATCAACATGTGGGTATTATAAAAAGAAAACAGAAACAAGAATTCTGGCTGCCCATTCAGTAATTCACAAAGATTTACACAACAGTTCCCATAAGCTGGTCTCAGAAAGAGAGCAATGTGATAGTTTTTATACATACTCTGTGAGGCACTATGGATTATAAATTATAAAATGTTTAAGGCAATCTACATAAGAAATATGATCGAGATTCATAATTGCACAAATTTGATTGGCTTTACATACCTCATCACAAATTATAGTGCTGTTATAACTCACCAAGTAGTAATTGTAATACTTTAAAAACTGTTTACTCTCTAGGGCTGCAAATTGCTTAGCTAATCCATACAAATTTTTTGGCTGCAAATCTTCAATGCCATAGCTCTGGGTCAGGATATATTCCAATTTCCAGTTGGCATATCCCTTCAGGTTAGCATCAGTTAGGTTCAAGTAATACTGCAACATATCCTATAGTCAGAAAGAGGAAGACAACCAGGTTCACTTTTCAGCATATAAAGCAGCATAAAAAATCCCTATAATGATTTATTTAGAATTCTTAAAATTGTAGTCATTGAAAAAATAGTGACAATTTGTTGCAAAGAAAAAGTTCTATTAGAAAAACTTATATTAATTTTTTCATACAAAAAAAAAAGAAAAAACATAATAGGAAATAATCAAACTATATAGACAGTCATACAAAATAAAATCTTCCAACTCATGTGCATCAAAAATAAACACTGCTCATAATTGTTTATAAAATCTGAGCTTCCACCAGCTCATCGAGTTGACTTACAAATTTTATTAATATTCCGACTGGTGGACAGCACTTTAGCAGCTTAAAAATGACCATAATGAAAGGACTGATCACAAAAAATATACAGAGAACTGACGAAACTCAACAAAAATAAACAACCCTATCAAAAAATGGGCAGAAGAGCTAAAAAGACATTTCTCCAAAGAGGAAATGCAGATGGCCAACAAGCATATGAAAAAATGTTCAGCATCACTCATAATAAGGGAGTTGCAAATTAAAACCACAATGAGATACCACCTCACCCCAGTGAGAATGGCACATCTTCAAACAACTAGCAACAACAAATGTTGGCGAGGATGTGGAGAAAAAAGAACACTCCTGCACTGCTGGTGGAAATGCAAACTAGTACAACCATTATGGAAAACTGTTTGGAGGTTCCTCAAACTGCTAAACATGGGCTTCCCTACAACCCAGCAATCCAACTCCTAGGTATCTACCCAAAAGACACAAAACCACTGATTGAAAAAGATACCTGCACCCCCATGTTTACTGCTGTTTTATTTACAATTGGAAAAACATGGATGCAGCCCAAATGCCCAAAAGTAGATGACTGGATTAAAAAGAGGTGGTACATATATACAATGGAATATTACTCAGCAACCAAAAAAGAGAAACACATGTCTTTTGCAGCAACTTGGATGGAGCTGGAAAATATCATGCTTAGTGAGATAAGCCAGAAAGAGAAAGAAAAATACCGGATGGTTTCACTCATAGCAGGAGTATAATGGACCAAGCGAGAAAATAACAAGAATAATGAGCAACCATATACCAGAGACATTTTGTGGGGGTGGAGTGGGGAATGGGATCAAAAACGGGGGGGGGGGAGTGCACAGGATTATGGTGATGGCACACAGGTGACTTGGTGATGGGAAACCCACGGGGACTACAATTTGAGATGGAAAAAAAAAAACATGTACAAAATGATGTAAAAATAAACTATTATTAAAAAAAATGACCATGATGAAAGCATTTGTATCATAGAAACTGGAAAACACTAAAAATCAAAACACTTTTTCTACTACTGAACCAGTTATATTTATCAGCATTGCTACATGCATTCCAAACTTTATGTACAATTATACACATTTAGAATGCATATACTATTGGCATTATTTTTGCTTTTTAACAAAATGGAATGCTTATACCGCTGTTTTGTACTTTAAAAACTTAGTGCTATCAGGGACAGATCTTTCCACGTCAATTAATACACAAACACATACAGATGTGCACACACATACAGAAACATAAGTGTATCTGAAGTCAAGATCCAAAAAGATGAATCCAATAATTGTAAGAGAATTCTTACAATTATTAGCCCTATTTTATTCAGCCCATTGTTTTATTTCCTCATTTCATCTGTAGTTTTGTCTCCTTTGTAAAAACATGCTATAAAAAATAAGAATTGCCACCTACAAAATTTACCTGGGAGAAAATGCAGTAAAACCAACAGTCTTTAAGAAATCCTTTTTAAATTCTTTGTATAGAAGGCAGCAATATCTATTAGCTAAATGTCCAACCTATCCATGCTAACTTGATCTAAAGCACAAAGTTATTTATAAGATTCAGAGAACATTTGTCTTAAAGGTAAACATTAATCTCAACCTTCATTCTTTCCACTAATATTTGCCAATGTGCGTTGTGCACTTAAAATATGAATCGTGTCCTAACTGATTTACATAAACTGTTTCATGCAATCTTCATATAACTGTGAGGTCAACAAAATTTGAATCCCCCCTTTTTTTTTTTGTTAATCAAACATTTATTTCATAACTATAGGTTCTGGGAAGGGTTATCTAGAGCAGAATGTCAGAGAACCTGTGCAAAAACTTGGAATCTCCATTTTACAGAGGAATAGACTGGAACAAAGAGGTTATATAATACAGTTCATGAAAGAGAATAGTTTTAGAGTTTCTACTTTCCTTCACAGCTATATCCTGAAGCATAGCAGTTAATAACAAATAAAACTTAGTGAAAAGTTTTAATATTTACACAAGCACTATCCAATGAAACCCTGTCTAAACAGACATGAAGTCCTTCAAAGGCTGGCCTCCTGAAGACTGGCCTCATCAGCCCACACTTGGAAAGTGCTGGCATTCCAAACATAAAAAAGAAAAAAGATGTCCTCTCATTTGCTTATTTTTTGCTTTTATTTCCCTTGCTATTGTGAGAATGGTCCATATCAAAAGACCAGAAACAATGAGTATTGGTGAGGATGTGAAAGAAAAAAAAAACACTCATACACTTTTGGTGGAAATATAAACTGACTCAACCCCTATGGAAAACAGAATAGAGGTTTCTCAAAATTTTAAAAAGAGATCTATCATGTGATTCAGCAGTTCCACATATTTACCCAAAGAAACTAGAATACTAGTTCAAAGGGTTAGACACACTCCTGTGTTCACTGCTACACTGATCAATAAAGCCAACACATGGAAACAACCTAGTCCCAAGGAGAGATGAATGGAGTAAGGTATGTGTGTGTACGAGTACAATGGAATATTGTTCAAATATTAAAAAGATGAACTTTTGCCATTTGTGACAATATGAGAGGAGCTGGATGGGATTATGTTAACAGCAATAAGCCAGAAGAAAAACCTATACTGAAATATTTGACCCACTCATATGTGGGTCATAGAGGAACAAAACAAAGGAACCCACAGATCAAAATCAAACAAATCTTAGAATCTAACCATACAACTGAAGTTACCAGAGGGTATGTTGCCTTGGTAGTGGGTATGAAGTGATTACATACATCTAAAGAGGTGATAACATACATCTGAAGAGATGTGGGCCTACACTTCAATAATATTGTTACAAATTACCTCATGAAAATACAATAAAAGATACCATGAGATTTCAATATAAATGCAATTCATAGCTACACTAAGAAACACTCACCTAAATGAAAACTATAATGGCACTTAAATATGGAGTCAATTATAAAACAGGGCCAACTTACCAGTAATTTATAATCACAAGGATTATATTGAAATAGTCGGACACCAGGGTTGTTTGTCTCTTTTTGTAAAATACTTTTCACTGGAGTCACAGCAGGAGCCACAAACAAAGAACTTACTGGACTACCTGGACAAAACATATGTACACAATCATGTGTGTATTTAAAATTTAATTTCACTATATTAAAGATATGAACAAGTTCCTAACATTAACATTAACATTCCTAATCCCTAATGATGGTGACCTCTGATCATGAATTGAAACAACTTTTAAAAAAACAGGGATTTTTTTTTTTTTTTTTAGAATTGGGATTAGATAATTCTGTTAGATAATTTAATGGTATTCTGATTATACAAGTTACCCATACATATCAGTAATGTATACAGAAGCATACAGGGCTGAAATCTATCTGCTGATTGAGATTCACTTTCAAATACTTTAGAAAAAAAGAATAGGGCCCTCCCTGGTGGTACAATGTGTTAAAAAGTGCAGCACTGTGAAGCTCGCTGAAGCTGCTTCAACGTGAGTTTGATCCCTGGCCAGGGCGATGAACCACATTGTATGCAGACCTCTCCTGACCTGCCCACTGCTCCCCTCAGCAGTGTTCTTTGTTGACCTCCCTGTTCTGTTTTCTACTCTGGTGAATCCTCTCAGGGTCCCTGAACCTCTGGCCTGTACCCCAATTCTGTATGCATAAATAAATATATTTTTTAAGATTTATTTATTTATTCATACAGAACTGGGGTACAGGTCAGAGATGCAGAGGGTGAGAGGATTCACCAGAGACAGAGTGGGGAGCAGAACAGGCAGATTGACAAAGTACACTGCTGAGGGGAGCAGCAGGCGGGTCAGGAGAGGTCTGCCACGCCATGTGGATCTCCTCCCGGGCAGGCAGGAATCGAACTCATGCGGAAATGGTTTAAGTTTCTTTGTGTTGTGCTTTAACCCACTGCACCACCAGGGAGGGCCCTAAATAAATTTTTAAAAAATAAAATTGGAGAGGTAAAGCAAATGTAGCAAATTTGTGACAGATGCTGAATATAAGTAATAATATATTGGGGTTTGTTTTATCATTCTCCCTGTTTTTATATATAATTTGAATTTTTCACAACAAAAAAATCCAAGTCAAAGTACACATGCACAAAAGGCATAAAAACAGTTTGTCCTTACCTAAAGCAATAATGCAATAGCTATACAATAAGAATTTGATTATAGTATGCACATCTTTAATACATATCTATTAATGTTTAAATTTCTTGATGAGTAAAAATGCTTTTTGACCAAGGCTACTCACTGTAGATGAAAGAGGGAGGAATTTCAAAATGTTCCCCTACCTACAAACAAAGACATAAGATTTTTCTCCTAGCTGAATATTAAAAATCAGAACTTTTACTTTATTAACTCTCAGCTTCTGCCCTCATGAAGGAGCAACTTCACAAACAGATAATCTCTTTGTTTGATGTAGAGTTTCTTCTACTTTTTTTAAAGCTGAAGAGATGGCAGTGTCAATGAACAAAAGTGAGAATTTGACATATTTTAAACTAATGGTAAACTGCTTTGTTCTTTAAACTCCAATAAGTGAAACAAGTCAATGCCAAAAAAAAACTAGCCAGTAAGCTTAATCAATCATATTTTTCTAACTTGAAAAATCTGAAAGGAAATTTGAGTGGGCTGACGGTTTCAGAGGCTTTAAGTCAAACCCACTGCAGGTCTGCCTATGATTTGACATAGCACACAAACCTAGCAGGAAAATCAGAAAAGCCTGGTGCTGGCAGATTAATTTAGTGATACTTTTAATTTACTATAAAATTGAGTAAAAATTAGAGGTTGTTCATGGTTTTACACCATTACTTTGCACCATTACATTGAACTGGAGAGATACCAATAGAAATTCACATTACCTGTTTTGTCTGAAAGAACCATCATGCTATCTCTGTGAGTGTGTCCATAAAACTGTCCTTCAATGACATCGCTGTATTTTCTGAAAATATTTATCAATTTCTCATTATAATATTCCCTCATTGCTGTGGTGCCCCTGGTAAAGGGCAGATACCCTACAGGAATATGTGCTATGATGTACACCTAGAGGAAAAACACAAGGAGAGAATGATTTTTGCACATTAATCCGAACTGAATGACATTTAAAAATTCAAGGGTGAAACTAAACTTAATTAAGAAGTCTAATATACCATCTTTCCTACTTAGAATCAAAAAAATAAAATTAGGAAATTTACTATCACTATATATATACTTTCTGTCCCTTAACCTACACTGCTGGTGATATAAAGTAACTATGATGTTGGTCATCACTTTTTTTGCATCAGCCTCTTTTTATATCAACAGATGTTAATCTTCAAAGCATGACAATAAAACAAGCAATAATTAGAAATAAATTGCATGGTTTTTATGTTAAAATGCCTCTGAATTTTATTTAATATATTCATTATTGCCTGTCTTCAAATTCAAGAAATACACAGTTAGCCCTCTGATTATCCCCTGATGATTTTGGTCTATGCATCTACCTTCTCCTTATTTTGCTGAGAGATGTTCAGTATATTTTCTAGCCATTCAAACTGATTTGCTGGGTCAGTCTTATTCAGGGTCACGATATTTGGGCTGTAGTACAAGTTTGTGTTTAGACTGATGATCCTAAGGTTCAGATTAGGATTCACTTTCTGTGAATAAAAGCCACCTATAAAAACAAATTCAAACACATTCTAGAAAAACACAGATAACCAGACAATGCAAAAACAAATTTGTGGTTAAACTTTGCAAGCCAGTGAAGAGGGTAGACTTATTCCTTATTGTTGTGTTTACATATATGAAGGGTATCATTAGAGAAGGGTTAGGTTTAAAAAACATTGATTGAAAACCTGCTATGTGCCAGGTCAAACATACACACTTCCACACACTAGAGAACAATGGCTATAGCCAATAAGTAATCTTACCAAAGAAATACTAATACCTTTTGTACAATTCTTTTTGTATAAAGGAGGAGTTATTGTGATGAGAGATACTGTGAAATTAAAAGAACAGGATCACACAGGACTCTTGCCAGAGATAACTGAAAAAGAAATGTCAAATAAACCAGACCTGCTACTGGCTCAGTGGAGATGGAATTGCAGGCATAGTCAACTAAGGCCCAGGGGCCTACTGCAGTGTCTTTTTCGGAAGTAGACACTGAGATGTCCCTGCTTGCTTTGCCCTGGACCTACTCACTCTCCATATTCCTCTCAATTTTAAACATGATGGATTATTCAATTAAAAACTGGATACAGACAACTCCAAAATTGGCACACTCAAACAAACATTAAATATACAAGTGTAAACGATATCAATAAAAATGGAGGCAAAATCGGGAGCAGTACACCTTTCACGTACCTTTCCTCAAAGTACCAATAGCTTCTTCATCCAGCCATGGTTTCCAGAGGTTTGCTACTGCATCATATACCTTGCTGCTGGTTATAGGCAGTTGATCCTGGCCACAAACAATATAATCCACTATTGAAATGTCAAAGGCATATGAGTTAACTTAAATACCACTTGAGCACTTACTTCCATGTTAGGCAGCTGGAGAAGTAAAGGTTAATGCTAGGTAGGTACAGTCTTTAAGAAACTTTTATAACTTATTTGGAAAAATGGGGGGCACAACATAATCAGTCACCTACATGACAAGGTAGCAGGTGCTAACACAGAAGTTTGGAGAGCATAGAAGCAAGAACAATCCAATCTGACCCATGTAGTCAGGGAGCAGAGTGATGAGAGAATGGAACCTGCCTTGAATAGTGATTCCACAAAGTTGGCAGGAAAAGGCATTAAAGCAAAAACAAGGGCCTGACATGTACACTGATCCATATTCAGAGCAAAGCACTGATTTTCACGTGGCTGGGACAGGACAGATGTGGGAGGTGCTCACTGAAGAGCATGGACAGCAGGTTTCAGCTTGCACATGCAGGCCTAGTGCAGCTGGCCCAGGGAATGGGGAGACTGCCTGGTTTTACAATGTCCTCTAAAATGCTCACACTAGTCTCAAGCTTTCGTCAACTGCTTGAACGAAAATCTATAACCATATGCTTCTGATTCAAAGATGCCTCTTGATGTCAGCCTAAATTATATCAGTATGTTTTAAATTCTTGCCCATATATGTATATACTGTTTTTACTACCATAAATTACCTTGGTATCATCATCTTGTATCATATATTCTGGTATATTTATAGCAATATAAGCTCTAGGGAAGAAAAGAATCTTTGGCAGCTCTCCTGTGACAATGCAGGTGCCTTTCTATATCATTTTCCTAATAAAACTGTCCTTTTACAATAAAAAAAAAGATAAAATCTTTAAGTACTGAATACAAATATTTGAGAAACTAGGTAATTATGTTTTTTTTCTTTTAAAAAAATTAAAGTAGAAAACTGAAGTTCTTTTCTTCATTCTTCTCATTTCCTCCTCTGTGCCAGTGATATAGATTCATTTCTTACCATAGTTGCCCTATTAACATTAATCAAAATGTTTATTTACTTGCCAATATGATGCCCAAGTCACTTCAGTTCCTAATACTAAATTAAAATACAAATACATTCAGGGAAAGGAGTAACCAAATGACTTGTTTTAGCTGGAACTAATTATCCGAAATATAGTTTCAGTTTGTGTCAAAGATCAGTCATAGTCTAAGAACTCAATAACTGGAGTTCTTCGCCATTTTGTGTGCTTTACGATGGATGCCAAAATACTGGTAAGTTCATACGAACCTTAAAACTACATAAAAACAACTCCAGATTTCCTCTCTATTTAATATAAGCACCAGAGAAGTTAAGCGATTTTTTCAGGGATTGCTGGCTAGTCCCAGAGCTGAGACTAAGAGGAAGGTGCAATCATCTATTGCCTCACGCTACCGTGTAGTCCTTTTCAGCTGGGACACGAGCACAGCGGAGTTGGGAGGTGTCTTGGAAAGCGACCACCTGTCAGTTGGCAGCACCAGTCTTGCTAGCACAGGAGTGAGGAGGACTTGGCGGGTACTGCTGCGTGGGTGGCGCCTGGAAGGAAGCCCTGGCTGCCCACACTAACACCCACTTTTGATGGGTAATGGGTGGGGACATGGGTCTGGCTATGTATGTTTAGCATAGCTCTGTTTGTGACAGGCCTATGGGATTTTAGTGATGAAATAACATGCATCAAATGTGTTACTATCACTCTAGAAGACAGTGTTATAGGGGATGTTATGCTGTTCCTGAAACTGGGGTGGAAGGATGGCAGTACAGTGGATAATAAGAAGAGATATAAAATCAAGCTAGAAAAAGATAAAAATTTAGTGTATAAGGTATACTCCTTGCCCAATATACCCTAGCTGTACATACAACCGAACATATTTCAAAGTCGATTATTATCTCTCTTTGAATTACTATGACTTTGCCAAAAGGAAAATGAAACAAATACTCAAAAGAGTCAGGGGGAAATGTATCCACATGTCACTGCTTAAATGCCACCACCCCCTTACTGAGGATTTATTATATGCCAGGTAGGAAGCTTTGCCCATTTTTAAATTTATCACCAAATCTGACCCCCCACCCCCACCCCCCCAAAAAAAAAAACTGCAAGGTGGGAATTTTTGCTCTCAGTTACTACTAAGTAACATTTGGACTAGGGACATTACCTGTTGGTCAGGCTATGAGAAGCAGTGTAGGATAAGTTTTTAATTTCTAGTAAATATGACCCTGAAACCCACCTATCTGTTTCCTAAAGCAAGTAACAATAATGAGTTTAACTCCAGACCTGGGGATTATTCAGAGCTAAGCCTCTGCACTGTGAGCTAACAAAAGTTGACTACTGGCTGATAGTACAAATCAAAAGGACTCACATATTGTTCATCTCAAGACTAGAGACCAGTGCCAAGAAGACACTTACAACTGCAGCTCATCTTAGAGAACAGCTTTTCAAAATCATTATTATCATGTAAGGGCACCAAATATAATCAAACTACCCATGAAGCATTCTTTTGACATGAGATAAAAAAAGTAAAATAAAAAATGTGCACAAAGGTTCATGAAAGTAAATATCATGTCAGGAAATATGGAACATGTGATTCTGGCAAGAACAAGGATTTGGAAAAGGATGTGGGTCTAATGAACGCAGGTGTGTTTTCCACTAATTGATGAACATTTGAACATTTCTGGGCCCCTGTCTTCTCATTTATAAAGTGAAGAATTGACACAGACCAGGGACTATCAAACTTTTTTATAAAAGACCAAACTGTCAATATTTTAGGTTTATGGCTCATTTAGTCTCTGTCATAACTATTCTACTCTGAGTTTATAGCACAAGGCAACCCTAGACTATATAGAAAGTAGGGTCGTGGCTGTGATCCAGCTATTATGCTTAGAGTACTATACAAATAAATACAATTGTATAAAACTTTACACAGATGGCAGGCCAAATTTATACATTCCCTTTAATCAGTACAAGTCTAAGATGCTAAGATCCAATGATACTAACAGTGACTCGAAGCAGAACTGGTAGTCAGCACTTACCATAGACTGCTGAACACGCAGCTCTGACAGGCTGAAAATCAGGCTGTCCCAGGCTGGCAGTATTCTCAACACTGACTCTTCCTTCAATCACATCTTAATTAGATAAACTGGGATTGAACACAGACCTCCCTTTCTGATTCTTAGGATATGCTTTTGTTTTTGGTCACAAGCTAGCTTAGATCAGAGTATGGAAAGCTTTGTATATCTAATGGAAATTTGGAAAAGATGTAAACAGTTGTCAACGTTAACCTTCTTATCAACCTTATGGAAATGTGAATGAACAAATGTTTTCAAAATAAGAGAAACTGAAGGAGCAAATGAAGGAAAAGGAATTAATAACCACAGAAAATTAACCATGGACACAATCTTTGATGAATTACTGAGTCATTTTCAAGTCCCCAAAAACTTGTCTTGCTTTCCTCCATGGTTAGTATTCCAAGCACATTACCTTTGTGAACAAACACCCACACCCTCACACTGATAGTTATGGCTTTCAGGAAAAATTCTTTAGGCATTTGTGGAAGAAATCAAATTACCTGTGGCCAATAGTCATGATTACCCAGTGCAGGGAAGACCTGGAGCTTTGGAAAGAAACTCTGGACAGTGGTTGTCATATTAGCAATCACATTTATGACTATGTCTGTTGAGAGTTCGTACACTGGAACATGAGGTGGGCTGTCCCTGAAAACACAAATCATCATAGAAAGCAAACTCAGTTTCTATAAAATGCCACTAGAATGATATACAATACCTTTCAGACTTTCACTGTAAAAAAGCACATCATAGCTAAAAGAACTCCCACATAGAATCCTATTTTAAAAAACTGCGTCATGCAAAAGATGAACTAAAAATCTCAACCTATTTCATTACCTTACTAAAGATTTATAAGAGCTGAAAATTGTAGAGTAATTTGAAGCATTTATTTCAGAGTCAAAATAAATACCTGGATTCCCAGCTTTACCACCTTACTTGTGCACATTTGAACAAGTTATTTAGATGCTCAGTGCCATCATTTCCACAGATGTAAAATAGGAAGAATATAATAGTTATTACAAAGATTAAATTATTTCAATATATAAATTATTAAAACAGGTGCACGGCCATTATTCTAGGAACAGGGAATGTAGGCTTCATTCTGTCATGACGGATGAAATTCATTATACCACCAGAAGATGATGTTTATAAAATTACTATCACCAATTAACTTCCAATATTGCTTTTATGTATTTAGTTTTTAAATCAAGATTCATTATAGCATTAATAAATACCTCAACACACTGATGTATATGTGTTGTTTAAGGATTCATCTTGTAGTTACCATAAGCTTATTTCTAAAGTATATATTCTTTAAAAAAGAATGGAAAATTTTTCCTAACTCCTAAATGTTGGTAATATTGACATAGTGTTTTAAACCAAGTAATTCTTAAAAATTAATCTTCTTGTGGAATTTAGATCCTAATGATGCTTAGGCACTATAAATATTCAGTAATTCACTTACCCTGTCCATATCATAAAAGATGCCTCTTGTCCTGAATTTTTAATAAAATCAAATGCTGACAAAATAAGCTGATATGGAGAGTCACAGAGAACATCTCCAAAAGGGCCAGGATCAGAGGCTTTTTCGCCTTTGGAAGAAGCACACACTTTCCTGTGGTCATCTGTGAGGTGGTAAGTAGGGTCCAAGTGTAAGTCAGTTACATGCCAAAACTGTCCTGTTGGTTAGAAAAGAAATGCCATTAAATCTACTTTATTCTTGGGATGCCCGTACAAATAAATACAGTAATACTAGAAACAGCTACTCTTCCTTGTAGGATGAAAGCCTTAGTAAATGAATGGTTTACATGCTCTGAAATTAAATACAACTCTTCTCCTGAGAAGGTAAGTATCCCCAAAACAGTAAAAGGAATGAGCTATTTACCATTGTCAGAACTTATGAGTTCATTGGCGACATGACAAAGAGCATAGAACCATGAGTATATACCCAGTTGGCATATTGAAATAGGTGAAGACAACCTAACAGGAAGTCAGGAATAATATCACATTCTGACTACTTCCTTGCAGAATTTAAGGAAGGAAGAGTATAAATTTAAATTTATATTCGTCTTGTAAAAAAAAATCAATGTGGAAATATGATATAGTTTGTTAGAGTTACAATGTAAATAAATTAAAGAACAAAGAAATAAATCTCACTCCAACTTTTTCTAACACTTAGCCTCTCAACATTAAAGAAAAGGAAATATATATCTTTAATCCTAGCTTGCAAAATAGGACTTGCAAGAGATTCTTTAAAACTACTTTAAGAGGTACATTTTCTATTATACACATGTGTAAAATTTTAATAATTTTAAGGGTATAATTCATTAAGATTGCTTCCATTGGTTCCATTTTACGCAGATGCTCAAAATTCATGATGGTGTCCCTGGTTAGAAATTATCTTGTGAAACCTCTTTGAAGTAAACTAATATTCACTATAGTACCTTTATTAAAGATTTGCTACGTGCCAGGCATTGTGACAGGCAATTAAAATATACTCTGTTATTTCATTCTCAAAACTGCTTTTGGAAATAGGAGTCATTGTTGACATCTTAGAGTTGCGAAATTAATGCTGCGTCCATTAGGAAATTGGCTCAAGTATACACAGCCAATAAATGGCAGAGTCAAATCTGAACCCCTATTTGAAGGACTCTCCAGTGTGTTTAGACACATACCTTCAATGACTTTGCCTCCTATGTCTGGTTACCAAATTGTTACATTAAGACCTTTTCATATTTTAATTTTGAATTCATTTGGATTATAACCAATTTATTCCAGAACTGACATCAGAACTGACATAAAAGCACTTTACACCATGAATGGCATGAAGCAAACAAGTAGAATGCATTCTTTTCTTTATAGAAACATGATAAAAGCTAACATGTATGTGAGCAAAACATTTGAATAAAATCCAAAACAGCGATATTAATGTAAAAAAAAATTAAGACAGTTAACTTTGTTAAGATGGGACTAGTAAGTTATATTTGGGTGGTTGCTTCTTACAAAGTTAGGATTTTATGACACATATAGACTAACAGATAAGAAATGGTAGAGAAAACATACAGAATATGTGAATAAAATATTCTTTACGGTCAGTTACTTGGATTCAGTACCCATTTAAAATCATTTGCCAAGAGTAATTTATTGTATTCCATGAAACAGAAAATACTCCAACTTTATCTCAAGTTTAGACTTGTTATTACCCAGGTAATAACTCAAAAATCATACCGGAGAATGGGGGTATACCCCCATTTCCTGGGGGTATAACTATATAGTGCATCTTGTTTTTCTATAGACATGCTTCATCTTTTGTATACTGTTGTACACTAAAATGCAAACTGAATACTGAAGTAGCATGGTTAAGAGTGGCGATTCCAGAATTAAATTTTCTAACTTAGAGTTCACATTATATTTACTAAACTACGTGTCTAGTCTTGACTTGTTTCATTGTAAAATTGTAATATATGGGGGGAGGGAAGTGCACTGGACTACAGTAATGGCACAGGGTGATTTGGTGATGGGAAGCCCACGGGGATTACAACTGAATGAAAAAAAATGCATAAAATGATATAAAAATAGACTATTATATAAACAATAAAAAATTAATTAAAAAAAACTGGAGTATAATACTGCTTGCTTTTGGAGAGAGTTAATTGACTTAGTAGAAGTAAAACTCTTAGAAGGTACTCTGACTTCTGCTGAGTCCCACTGGAGTTGTATTGTTATTTTGTAAGCCAAAGCTTGGATTTGATTGAACTTCCTCATTTCCAAGTAGTATTTAAAAATGATCAAGTAAATACAGTAAGCTTAGTATTGCTTTTAAAGCTTTATGTGTATTCACTAGCCTTTATTTCCCATTTTTACAGAAGGAATTATAGCACACAGAGGTTAAGTGCAAGTGCACATGTAATATTCAGAAAGCCAAGATAAGGACTCAGGAAATCTGACTCAGAGGCCATGTGGCTCTTAACATTGTACTCACTGCCGCCATGTGCTCACATTCAAGCATCCATCTCACTTGCTCCAAGCAGCATAGATAACCCTAATTTCTACCCAAGATGCGGTGATGACAAAGAGACACAGGATTATAAATATATTAAATTTCTGTAAAGCAAACTAGAGGCATTTTGAGGACACACCCTTCTGATATAACCTAGTACATAGACTTACATAGCCCCAGCATTTAGAACAGTAGGCCCTCAACAAACATTCTTTAACTAGATACAATTAAGATCACAGGATGACTCACTGAAAGCTGAACTGGAACCTGTCTCTCCAGACATCCAGTCCCGTGCCCTTTCCACTACAGGACATCACCAGACACACAAATAAGGGGGTAATTATTTAGATACAGACAAGATACCTTTAAATAGAAGCCAGGAACAGAAACCTGACAGGTTCTCATGAATAGCTAATCACTGGAAGCCTTACCTTCCACTTTTTTTTTTTTAAAGATTTATTATTTATGCATACAGAGCTGGGGTACAAGCCAGGGTGCAGGGGCGGTGAGAGGATTCACCAGAGACAGAGTAGGGAGTAGAACAGGCCAACTGATAAAGTACACTGCTGAGGGGAACAGCAGACAGGTTAAGAGAGGTCTGCCACACCATGTGGATCACCTCCGGAGCAGGGATCAAAATCGTGCTAAAGTGGCTTTAGCTTCTCAGTGCTGTGCTTCAACCCACTGCGCAAACAGGGAGGGTCCTCACTTTCCACTTCTAAAGAAATTGTACACAAAATGCACTGTGGTGTTTGTTCCAAGGCCACAGACCTGGACTCTGCCAGAGCTCACACTTGAATGTACCTTCTCAGGTTTCCAGTCCAAAGTTCTTTTCCATTACACAATTACTTTCTTGTTCTGCTGATAGTATTTGAAAAGATTTCCACATATGTATGTGAACATGTGTATGCTGCCAACTTATCTAATACTCAAACTTGTATTCGGAAAGGTCTTACAGTTCATCTAAAACTTTGTAATGTATTCTGAAGAGCCTAGTAACTTTAGATGTGTGGATATACATTTGTCATTTAACAGGTGTTTTTGTTTACTTGTTTATAATGTCAGTTGCTACCAAATACTTGATAAGTCCTGACCTACTAAATTTAAAGAGCTGTGTGATCAAACACATCTGGTGAAGCTGCCCTGGCTGGTTGTCCTCTGACCACCAGGACTTGGAGTATGGAATCACTGGCTGGAAATTTGCCTTCCCACCCACAGGCAATAAGTAAGCAGAGGCCAGTCAGGATGGATGCATTAAACCGAGTCCAAGCATTTGGGGCCAGAGTTGGGGAAAGAATAAGAAATTGCTGAGATAACACTTCAGTGGGTCTTTGACACTAGTTACCCCTCTCCCTTACGCCGCTCCAGTTCTTTCCTATATCTGCACCTCCAGCTTCTCACTGAGAGGTGTAGAGTTTTACCAGACACCAGAAAGTTGTCCTCGAGGCCTTCAGCAATCAGATCCCTAAAACCAAAAGGCTACTTACTTCACCACTGGATGGTCTCCTACAACCGGGACTTTTTAATCTCAAAATCTTAAACAGTCACATCATTAAAGAAACACAAATCTAGCTTTAATAAGAGCAGAAACCAGTATGAATAAGTCACAACAATTTCTTGTTATGACTGACAGTTGGTAAACTAGATTTACAGCCGTTGCTTTCAACTGCTTGATAGGGCTGAGTCATGAGCACTTGGCTGGCTGACAAAGCAGAGGCATTTCTTCCAGAGCATTTCAGAAGCCCTGTGAGAGAGCAAGCCAAAGCAGCACAGAGAGGAAGTTTCAGCACAAAGCATTGGGTCACTGAGTTTTATGTCTAAAGCACAAAGCAGAGCTCCACCCATCACGCCCTTTAAATAACATAAAAACTATCTTTTAAAAGGAATCAGGAGATAGGGAAACCTGGATCTTTGAAGGCTCAGAGAAATTGATAAGCATCTGTCATCAACATTAACTAAGCCTTTGGTTTTCAAATTCTAGAATCTCTCAGAATCCCCCGGGAAGTTCGTTAAACAGCTCTGTCTTTTGGATTGGGTAGGTCTGGGATAGTGGCGAAAAGTTGGATTTCAACAAGTTTCAATGCAGCGGATCCTGCTGCCCTGGAGCACACTTTGAGAATCATCGACTGCACGGGGTTAAGTACTGGGAATGAAACACCTGGTCCCGAGCGGCGGGGAGCCCAGGTGCATTCTGGCAAAGTGAATGGAAGACCCTAAGGCACACAGGAGGGTGTGCAGCACCCAGAGTGGGGCCAACCTTACTACGCTGGGGGGAGCTGGAAGAAAAGGCCGCCCAACTGTGAGCAGGACAGAAGCTCCCTGACAAGGAGCAGAAACGCGAGTCGAGCTACGTCTCCACTCAGGACCTGACAGTGACAGCAGGGAGCCCGCGCCTCTCTCTCTCTCTCTCTCTCTCTCTCTCTCTCTCTCTCTCTCTCTCTCTCTCTCTCTCTCTGCCTCTCTCTCTCTGTCTGTATCTGTCTCTGTCTCTCTCCCGCGCGCGCCTTTCCCCTGAAAGTATGTAAACACCAACACGCAGGGAAGAATCCGGCCGCGCGTCCCTGGCGGTCCCGCTCGCACCTGTGTGGGTCTCCAGGAGCAGCGCGGACAGCGCGGACGCCCCCGCCGCCTCCCCGCCCTCCAGTCTCCCAGCAGCGGGGTCCGCGCTCCCGGCGCCTCCACCCCTCGTTGGCTGCAGCCGCGCGCGGTGCCCGACTGCGCAGGCGCTTCCGCGTGGCGCCTGTGGCAGCCACCGGGAGGGAAAGGACCGTCCAGGACTCACCCACCGCCGGAGCTGCACTCTGGAAGCCCGCCGGCAGCCCGAGGCCGGGACGGCCGTGCCAACAAGCCAGCAGGCAGCAGAGGAGCGCGCTCACCCGCGCCATCGCGGGCCGCGGCCACCGGCCTGGGAAGCGCCCGCAGTCCCGCGGCGACACTCGGCCTGCCTGGCCCGGGGGTGGGGAGGAGGCGCGAGGCGGATGCCCTGCGTAGACTCCAGCGGTCACGTGCAGAAGCAGACTCCCGAGCGAGTGGCCTCGCCAGCCGGCAGCAGCTGTCTGGCAATTATCTGCGCTTTGTTGATGATTGGCCTGGGGAGGAATAAGCTAGGGCCAAACCCGCACGGATTGGCTTCCTGGAATACTACCTGACCCTAAATACCACTTGACCCTAAATGGATGGGGTCTTTTGGCAGAAGTGATACTCGGACAACCTGGTGTCCTCGTGGTTAGACTAGACCAGCAGAAATTTTGAATAGAACAGTGGACTCCAGTGAACCAACGGTTTCAGTACTGGGAAGTCTACTTAGAAGTAGATATTCCTAGAGGAAACAAAAAAGAATAAAAGCCAAAACAAATACTCGAGAAATGACAGCGGAATTGAGGCTTCTACAAAGGAAGGAGGAGACTAAGGGTTGGAACAAAGTGGGAAGGGAGCCCAGGATCTAGAGTAAGGGCTTTGCCGGGCTAGCGGGGTGGCGCCTTGTAGCCGAGGAGGAAGCCCGTTTCTCTAAATCATATACAGTGTTGTAAACCAAAGTTATCTCAGTCGGAAAAAAAGAATATTCCAGTAAAAAAGGACTGGTAGAGTAATGGAAATATGACTCGATGTTCAATAATGCAGATGGTTACTTGTAGACTGCAGAAGCGAGCTATACAAGTGTTCACTGAAAATTCAACTCTTCTGTGTGTTTGAAAATTTTTATTGAAAAATAGTGAAAAAAAATGACAGGATTTTCTTCTGAAAGAGCATTTTGGTGATTAAAAAAATAAAAGTCCCAGGCCTCACTCCAGACATACTGAATCATAGACTATGGTGGTAGAGTGCACTACAGGTTATGCTTTTCCAAGCCCTCCGGGTGCTGCTTAAGTGATGCTCATGTTTGAGAATCACAGTGTTCAAAGACAGTAGGCTTTGCATTTTTGTTTGAAAATTTTTATGTGTTTTACAACTGAGAGCATTGTCTCAGAACTGTTCTCTAGCATTACAGAAATGTATAAAAATCACACATGGAACTGGTTGACATACTGTTCCAAGGAACTTAAAATATGTCTGACAAAGGAAACAAGATTCTCTGACTTCCTGGATCCTGTGTTCTTCCACCATTTAAGAAGAAGCTGACTTTTTGTGTGATTAAGAGGCTGTTTAAATTTTGTAGTGTGTTGAATTCCTTTAGATAAGAAAGTACCCTCCAGAACTATTAACCTCGTAAAAGAGGTTGTGAAGTATATTTGCTTCCCATCAGAGAAAAACTTATTTTGTGTTCTGTGTAATTTAATGGGAGTGTGTCATGAACGGGGCTTTGAAATGGGAATGACGCCTTCATTTTCTGTTTGATGCCCTGCCAGTGCAATTCAAGCTTGCATCAGTTTTAGGATGATTCAAAAGCCTTTTTGAAAACAAAAATGATTTGTAATTGTTGACAAAATGGTCCTTGGAGTTTCTCCATGCCCAACTTAAAGAATATGAAGTAAAAGGGAGTGAGAGAAGAAAAAAATGGTGAATGGATGAGAGAACAACTTAAAAGACAGCAAAATAACTTGTCTGGTTCTAGTCCAATGTTTTGAAAGATAGAAAATATTAAAAATGTAAAAAGCGATTTCAGTTTCCCAATTTTCAGTAATTGGTTGTTAAATTATTCTTCAGTAGTTAAGCATAAAATAAGGCATACATTTTGAAGCCTAAGTAAAGCTTGCTTCCTAAAAAGTCAATATTTTAAAAGCAATGGGAACATGTCACCCACCCCTACTCTCTACCATTCTTCGTTTTCCTTTAAATCTAAAGTCAAAGAAGTGCAAAGCTATATACCCCCAACATGTCAGGGAATGTACACTGCAAACTTGGGCAGGTCTCTATCTTCCAGGTGTGTTTTGTTGTGCAATTATAAATCTTATTATGAGAGAAGACCTGTGACAGCATTCACAGCTCCTTTGTAATTGTCAGGGAGTCATAGCTGGATTTCACAAGATGGACTTAAGCATAGTTTATATCTTAGAGTCTTGGAATTTCACAAATGTTCTTCTGAACATTCCACACAAAGATTTGACCAGGGTCCTGTTGGTCAAATTGCCTCTAGACTTGGTGCTTTTGTCTGTTAACTAACCTGGTGCTTACTCTTTTATTAAGAAGAGCTGGGGGCAGTGTAGTTGATACATTGATATATTTCTTTTAGAGATAGAATATGACTTGAAAATAAAAGATTTGCAACTATCATGTAAACACTTAGGAAGCAAAAATATCTGTTCATATTTTTCCTAGAAAAATGTATTTGATCCACCACTCAACCCAACCCATGATCTAATTTTTAGCCCTATGTAACTGTTTTCCATGTAGGCCACCAAAAAAAAAAAAATTTTCATTCTTTCTGAGTGAGCTAGTTGTGGAAATTAAGGCCAATAGAATGTTATAATGATCTCAAGTTGAATCCCCATTTGTCTTGCTTTTCTCATTTTAATTAAGATAATTTTGGTTCACATCCTTGTTTGTATTTTACAAGTATAGTATCCCTCCCTTTCAGGTGTTTAGATCCATCAGCAAAGCACCCATAGACCATTGTGCTTCTTCTCCAATTTGTTCTAGCATCTTCGGCCTCTGGATTTCCTATATGTATAGTCAGGTTTCAAAGGTTAGTTTATCAAGGGTAAGTTCAGTTTATCTGACCCTTTGGTTTCTCTGTATTCCGCCTATCAGTGACACAAATCCCTGATTTTGCTGGGACATAGGCTGAAATCATGAAAGAATGCAGTCATCCACCAAAAATGAAGACTGTCAGAACAACTGAAGCAAGCTTTCCCTCTTTTGTTTCATGCAAAGACAAAAGGACACTAGTTGTAGCAATGGGAAGCTTACCAATGTTTTCTTGGCATTCAGTAATTATTGTGCATGCAAAGGGTAAATATTATGTCTTCAGTTTGGAGTTTTCTACTCTTCATTATAAATGTAATACAACAATCAGGCAATAGTACAGTATGATTATGGTGAACCATGTAGGTTACAGGAAGTTTCCTCATACATCTGTAATTCAGTTGATTCTTTTATAAACTTACAGAAATTTACTGAAATCATGACTTTGACTATGAATGAATGTTGCATATTTTACCTAAAGAATAGTTACCCCCAAAATCCGTTGTTCCAGAGGCCAGTGGTGGAAATATTTCCTAAGTAATTATCAAGGGAAATAAAATTTTGCATTTTTGTTTCATAGACAAGTCAACTGAAATATTAATTTTTGAGAGAGAATAAAGGACAGCAGTTACTGGTGTCATGAGAAGTTGGATATGCAGCTAATTTTCAATTTTCTCATTAATAAAGCAAAAAAATTATCTACATTGCCTACATCGAAGCATTGAAAAAAATATGTTAAAAAAGCACTTTGTAGGCCCTCCCTGATGGCGCAGCAGGTTAAAGCACAGCACTGAGAATCTAAAGCCATGTCCACATGAGTTCGATTCCTGCCCGCCCTGGAGGTGACCACATGGCTGGCAAATCTCTTCTGACCTGCCCGCTGCTTCCCTCAGCAGTGTACTTCGTCGATCTACCTGTTCTGCTCCCCACTCTGTCTCTGGTGAATCCTCTCGCCACCCCTGAACCTCTGGCCTGTACCCTAGTTCTGTATGCATAAATAAATAAATCTTAAAAAAAAAAAAGCACTTTGTAAATGAGGAAATGTAAAATAGTGATTTTTTGCACTGTACAAATGCAAACCCTAGCCAGTTATAGATGTTTACTTTCATTTGATCAAATCAGTTATGACAACTCTCATATACACTTAACCACAAAGGAAAATGCTGCTAGAAGAGCTCTTCCTTGTAGCACTCCTGCTAATTTAGTTCAACTCTACAAACTTGCCTGCAAAAATTTATAACCCAGGGTAAAATTCACCCCCTATTCCTTAAAAAAAAAAACAAAACAGAACTGGAATTATGTGATATTTTGATCATAGGATATTTTTATTATATCTATCCTTTAATAAGTCATTTTCATGCATATCATCTTGCTTCTTTAAAACACCTGTAACTAATAGTAAGAGATCATTTCCGTAGCCCAACCCAGCACAATAAGTCTTCTTTGGGTCCTGGCCAAATGAATTTAATCATAACATTCTCTATGGAAATCTTAAACACAACTGTAACATTTTACAAGGGTCTATGGTGATGATTCATGGGTGATGTGTGGTGGGGACTAGGCCTGAGAAAAGAAATCAAATGTACAAAAATGAACAATGGTGTAAGAAAATTAAAAAGTTTAATTAAAAAAATTAATTTTAAAAACTGACATTGTGCATACTACTAGGCTTTTGCTTTAAAAAAAATTTATTTATGCATATAAGAACTGGAATACAGGCCAGAATTACAGGGGCTAAGAGGATTCATCAGAGACAGAGTGGAGAATAGAACAGGCAGATTGACATACACTGCTGAGGGGAGAAGCGGGCGGGACAGGAGAGGTCTGCCGCGCCCTGTGGATCACTCCCCTGGGTAGGGATAGAACCCATGCTGAAGTGGCTGCAGATAGCTTCATAGTGCTGTGATTTAACCCCAGGTGTACCAGGGGCCTTGTGCTTTTTTTTTTTTAATTAGCATTTTAAACAGAATTTCAAATCTTACTTTATACACCATGAAAGCCTATTTTATGTAAAACTCTCTAATACATAATACACAACCAGATGCCTGGTAAGTAAAAGAGCAACAAAATTTCTCACAAGCATACAATTTTTATTCCAATTTTATTGGCATTCCAATAGAAATTATAAAATGTACGCACATCTTTATAAAATAATGTGGCTGAATTTTTTTTTCTTTTTTATTATTCTATTTTTTTTATTGAAGTAACATTGGTTTACAACACGTGATTCACAGGTATAGGATTTTAATGTGAATTATGAAACATAATAAACTTCCATATCAAAACTTGGGCTAGTAGCTAGGAATAACAAATTTAAAACAAGTTTTAAATCACCCTTTTCCACTCCCACACCACCGATAACCCTCTAATTAGTGATCAGTTGCTGTGCTGTAACAGCAGCACAATACTGAGGATTGGGTAAACAGAAAACTGTGAAACTTCTCCAGCCCTGAGTCAGGAACTTTTCTATGCCTTCTCATAGTGGCGGACTGCAACCACATCACCAAAGGTAAGAGTCTGAAAAAGTCAAAAGATAATTAGGTCTTTTTACAATGAAAACATTAGTAACAGAAATTGTCAAAGATTACAATAGATAGCATTTTGCCCCCCAAAATGGCATTTACAAACATTAAATTCTGTATGAGTTCTTTATTTCTTAAAACAAAATGAAAATTTCTTTTATATTAAAATAAAAAGAGACAGAAAATGATGTTCAAAATGAATTCAGAATCTAAGGAAATCTCCATTTCTCTTTAACCATGTTGTTCAGTGTTCATATAGTTCATTTGGCACAAATGGGATATCACCTTTGTAAAGATGGAGTATAACAGTGTTTTTTGATTAAAAGATGAATTTGATTCACAAACAGTTTTTGTAAGTAGTAATGTATTCTCTATTGAAATTCCAATAAAAACACAAGAATTGATGAAGACATGTGAAATGAAAGAAAATATAAAACTTTAATATATATATATTTATGAAATAATTAACATTTCTACATAGTTAATATCTCTAATAGCAAAATGAAGCAAAAACTGAGATTGGTTGTCTGACTCCAGGTCAAAATAATTTCTTTTACTGTATAATATCAGAGTAATGGGGGTAAATTAGCTATATGCTTTGAAAGTGAATTTGTAACTTTTTTCAGAACAGTTTTTAATTCATGACCTAGATAAATTTTAAACAGTTTTTAGAAAATGCAAATCATTTGTATAAATGAAATTTGCAATGATTTGTTCAAAATCAGCAAGAAAAGATCAATATGCAAGTGTTTTCATTGCTTTGGCTGTCAGATTTTAGGCTGTGGGAGCCTCAGTGATGAAGGGCTATGGAACAGGGGCTCTTCCGTTAGATCCATCTTGAAGTTTCGTTGCAAAACCATTGTATACAACTTAAGGGATTTTTACTCTTCATAATTTCCATGTATTGAAAAGTATGTCTCTGTCATCCATTGCATCCATTGTCTTAATCTTTTTTTTTTTTTTTATTTCAACCTTGCCTGAACACAATCTTACATGCCAAAGTTGAGCTATCCAGTTAAATGTTTCCAGGGAAAAAATGGAGAAAAAAGGATAAAGGAGAACTTTAGATTTACTCTTTTAGAAAGAATCCTTTCTTTGATGATCACTCCAACATAACATGGAAAGTATCTAAGATAAAGGATATTTTTATCTTTTCTCTGCTCCCGGCTCCCCCACTTGCAAATGTAAAGAAGTATGAACATAGAAGCCCATCTCAATCTGACAGCTCTGATTTAAATTGTCAAGAGAAGAAATAATAGTCAACTTTATTTAATAACTAAACGAATATTCTTTTCTGTTATTATCTTAGAAGGCATATAGAAAGCAATACCCCTTTCCCCAAAACAAAATGATACATTGACTAAGTCACTGCCAGAAAAGTACCATTTTACTCAATTCACCAAAAAACATGTCTGTGGTACTAGATATGAGGTTTGAATTTTTTTCCTAGGTTATGATGCTACTACTCCATCATTAGAGAAAATATTCTTTATTTATTTTTTCTTTTACAATTTGCACATTACTATTTGGTATTGCAAAGGCATGCTTAAAAGTACTTTGTGTATTAAAAGAAAGACTAGAGGAAGTAACTTCTAAATGATTTTCTCTGAGAAGTTAGAGAAATATATATAAAGGATTTTATATTTTTATTGTACTTTCCTACTATTTGCTAAATTCCATGCACTGAACTCACATAATCTTTATACTATATGAAATGTTTAATTATATCTTAGATCCAGTAAGAGTGATAGTCTTACATCTTTGTATATGTTCATTATTATTAGTTTTATTTTAGATTTCACTTGAGGGCTAGACACAGTAAGACTTTAAAAATGTTTTTTTTAACACGTTTTTATCTAAATCAATGGCAACTTTTAAAACCACATCAAATAGACATTTTCTTTTTTTCTATAATCAGAGAAGCAGACCTAAGGAAAGAATTAGCTAGGATTTTTTTTTCCTGTTTTACATATGGTTAAAAACCTTTTAAGAAAGACATTATTAAGGAAAGGTGGGAGAAGAGTTAGGGAGGGAGAGAAGAAGTTAGAGGGAAAGGAGCAGAGCAAATGAAGAGGAGGTAGGAGGAAAGGGAAAGGGAAGATAGGACTCTGGAAAGCAAGAAAGTGGGGAGACTTGTTCTACTTACCATAACCATTTTGCCATCCTGAATTTCTCTTACAAAATTTGTTTCTTTGCCATCCCATTTCTGTACATGAACAAGTTTGTCTCCATCCAGGCTAACAACAGACTAAGATCAACAACACAATGCAGAACAAAGTGATTGGTAAGATCAAATGTCAGACACGGAAGTTAAGAGATTAGATTTTTGAGAGTTGTATAATTGAATAAATTGTGATCAACTAATTTCCATGTTAGTATCATATCATCTGTTGCTTCTAAAGCATTGCAAACTCTACTAGTTCATAATTTGAAATATATACATTTAGATACAAACACTTCATATATAAGAAACAAAAATCCTAACAAGTGCTTCCTGACAGGATAGCCTTCTCTTTTAAACAAAGTCTTAGGATGAGTCAAGCTTCTGTCTAATCTGTCCATCTGAGGCAGAGCTAAACAAAATGCAATCTTTCCCTTAAATAAAAACTATCAAATACTTTCTGAAATGTACAACTTGACATATACTGTGAAAGCATACCTTAAGAGACAGTGGGTTAGCATTTCGAGTTATAGCAAGTACCCATTGTTCAGAACATGACAAACACTCATTGTAGAATACAAAAGTAACCAGGGTGTTCTCTCTGAATGGAAATACAAAGAGCGTTTCCACTTCCCATCATTCAGAGAGAGAGAAAAGTCTTCTTACCTTACAATTTCTGTCATCTGCAGTGATCTCATCAAACTCTTCTCCCAGATGGAAACTAATCTCTGTGTTTTTAAACGTGGATTGAGTCCTGATCACCACTTTGTCCCCCTCCTGGCTGATGATCACTGTTGGTTTAGTCACATTGCCCACCTGCCTCGTGGCAAAGCCCACACCTGTTGTAGCAAAAGGAAGCAACACGTCAACTTCAACCTCCAAAATAGTTCAGAAAGCAGGAGTCTGCTTTCCTAGTCTGAAATCCGCATCCTCATGTATAAACTTCAAGGAATATGGTTAGCCTATTCATCATGGAATACAACTACACAACTATAATAATAAATGGTTGCTTATTTGAATGTTTAAATAATAAATGAATGCTGAAGAGAAAATAAAAAATAAAACAGAATTTCACATCCTCCACAACTACCAAAAGCACTGTTATTTAGCCCTGGGAAAGAAAAGCAGGCATACGCCTCATTAAAAACCCATTCCATGGGAAATTTATAGCCTAGCATCTGATATGACAGCATGATCTGTCTTTGTCTCTTACTAATCTGATAGGATGGGGAAAAAATCTGCAAGTATCTGAAGCTGCAAATGAAGAAGATAATAGCGCATCTTGTGTTAACCTACCTAGAGCCTTCATGTACTCATCAAAGTTCTGACTGTCTGTCAGCTTCCAGGTAGCACAGAAAGCCTCCACCATCCTTGCTCTTTCCCAATAAGCTTCAAAAGCAGATAGAGACAGGAGCAAAGAGTTGAGATCTTATTGCCACTACAATCCAGAGGACCCTTTGCACCTCTAGCAGCTTCTGTCTTTTTATTTGGAAAAGTAGCAGGCAGAAAGCCAAGGATTTGAATTGCAAACATACCCCTTCAGTGTCCCTCTTTTCAGAAGGCTTTTGCAGGACAGGATGGGAAGGGGGGCTGAGTGCAGCTCCAACCCTCTTTGCGATTGGCTCAGGCCACTGGGTTAGCGGAGTAGGTCGAGCTCCTCCCAGTCCTCACACTGCACACAGCCCTTTTGCCTGAGAAAGCTCTGGGAGGCTTCAATGGGCTTGAAGCGGAGAAGGGGAAATGAGAGCTCTTCTTTCAGCTTCAGCCCAAAAACTTGGCAAAGGCAATTTCAGACTGTGAGGAAAGAAAAAAAGATAGACAATAGGACATTCAGATTGATTTCCGTTAATGGCAAAGTGGGTTACAAATGAGGACCCCCCTTAAGGAAAACCACTGAAATGCCAGACTTTTCAGACAAAGGAGACTGAATGGCGTCTTTGATTTTCTCACATATTTACAAGGAGAGCAAAACACAAGCTAGAATGTGCCAAACTCAGAGAAGAGGAGGGGGCGGTGTCAAAGCCTTCCTGGATGTGCTGCTGGAACTAACACAGGCTGAGTATCAATGGGACACTAACTCACTTTGGCAGCTTCCCAACACAAACCAAGTGAATTTAAAGATCCATTGTCCCTCCTAAGGATGTGAGAACCAGACTGAGATGGGAAAGGGATCTGAGGGAAAGTATGGTTAGAATTCACTAATGAAGTACAGAAGTAAAGAAAAGAAGGTGCTTCCCAACCCCCACCCCTTCCTTCAATAGACTGGAATCTATGTGGAAAAACTGGACAGAAGATCATTTATTATGATTTTAAATGGTCTGCTTTATAGGACACTGATTTCCGGAGGCCATGTTTACCTACATGTGATCTGTATAAACTGGGAGAAGCAAAGAGCAGAGGGCAGTGACTGGAGGACCAGTGGGAATCACGAGAACTTATGCTTCAGTGTGTTCTGGCTCACAGTACCCCAAGTTTGGATCATAGTAGAACATTTCAAGGGGGACTCTGAACCTCTTCTTCACCCAGTTTCTTTCCACTTTGGCACCAGTGGGAAGCAGGTTTCTGCCTTTCCTGGGGATAGAGCAGGAGAATCTGGATTGTCAATGGTTGTTCTTCCTTCTCCTCCTATTTAAACTTCAGTACAGTAGTACAGTGTACTTCAGCTTTGTCCACATACCAAATCCACAAAACAAATCTTGGAAAACAACTGTCATTTCCAAGATTCTACTAGAATGTCTCAAAGTCACTTAAAAATTAAACAAACAAACGTTTTCCACACCAGGTCTTCTCCCAGTTTTCATTGTAAATGACATTATCTACCCAGACACACAAATTAAAACACCTGGAATCTTTTCTAGCACCTTGATCTATAAAATCAATGTCAGTGTCAAGATTTATCATTTTTCTATCTGCATCTCCACACCCTCCATTTTAATTTAGGCAACCTCTTTCTTTTTCTAGTCCTGTGCCAATAGCCTCTTACCTGTTCTTCCTGCAGCCTGTGCTGATCTGCAGTTGTTCCATGCACTACATCCTGGAAGCCCTTTTAAAATAGAAATCTGAATCTTCTTGTCCCCACTTAGGATGGCTTGACTTACTGATTTTTAAACTACGATCTTCAGCTTCCTCTTTACTTAACACTCCATTTTCTGGTGATCTTCTGTCTGCTTACAACAAGGAGAAAAAGTGTACTCCTACTGCTTTCTCTGAACTCACTGAGATATTATACAAACATAAATTGTCACCTCAAATAATCAGATTTACTACCCATTATGCCAAACATGCTGAAAGTCAGTAAGCAAATTTCCCAAAAGTTCAGTAGGCTGATGGCTTGCATGTAGCACCAGGAGCCTTTCTGGGTGACATCTCCTTAAGAAGATTCCATTGTGCATTTTAAAGAAAGATTTATTTATTTATTTATGCTAAGAAAGATCCAACTAATAAATATATCTTTGCCAAGATCCCTAAACTTGGTATTAACTTATGGTTTTGTTATTGGACAGAGAAGGGAAAACCCAGGAGTCCTAAATCTGCACACTCTAAAGCATTCTTCTAGCCACTGCATCAAGATACAGCCTACTCTAGTGCATAATACCTTCAATAGAAAAGAACTTCAGTACAACTAGCATGCAATAATTAGTGTGTTTTAGAGAGAAGAGAAAGAATAGCTTCCAAATGAACTACCCATGATAGATAATAAGATCAGGCCTCAGCCTTTGTTGAAAGAGTAGCACTGAAATTCCCTACATTCTCACTGCTGAATTCCTTAGCAGTCCCCAACATGTTTCCCTATCTTCATTCCCCTATTCCTCTAAAGAATCAACCAGTTAGATCAGCTCCAGATGCTAGGATTGATTGAAGAGTCTAATCTACAATCAGAAGTTACAGTAAAGTGTATAATGGGATTTAATGGGCAGGAAGTACATGGGGAAAAAAACCTTATCTGTCTATAAGTATTGTGTAATTTTTATTTTGTTGCATTTTTTTAAAAGCTGGACTAGAATAGAGAGAAGATGCATCATCAGATGTGGCAGTCTTAAAAACAGGTGTCTTATTTTCCTGTTGGAGGTCTAAGAGCAAATGAAGACAATTTGGTGAGGTAAGGACTGTCTTTTCAATGGCCTTTGCATTGTTTCCTATTTTCTGTTTTTTTTTTTCTCCTTTTACTTCCTATTATCTAAGTATTCCATTCTTCATTTTGTCTTAAGAATAAATTGTAGAAAAAAATCCTTTATCTACCCCAAGATCTGACATAGTGAAATAGAAAACTTGGTTTGTTCCAGGTTTATTATGAGTTTCCTTCTTGGGCCATCTACATGCCTCAACTGCACCCAGAATATTCTTCTCTCAGTGTCATGTGTAATTCTACTTGTCTTTTAGAGTTTATTTCAATTATGATTTCCTCAGAGAAGTCTGGAACAAAACCCTGTTTAAGTCACCCCATGGTTTTGTCTTTTTACACGTCATTTTAAATACTTTTAAAAGCACAAGTACCCTGAAGTGTCTACTTTAACATCAGTGAACTTTATACATTATTCTGCCCCACCACCTTTGCAAATACAGTAGAGTCTCTAGTGTTGAACAAATATTAAAGATACGAACAAATTTAGAGAGTGAACACAGAGAATTAAAGAACTTCAAGGAAGGGAAGAGTTTAAACTATTGTATAGATAGTTTTTTCTATAGGTAACAACATTTATCCAAACTTTTTGTAACCTATATAATTCTCAAAGAAGGATATCTAAACTTCTTTCTCATTCCTATCATGTTAATGTTTAGGAGAAATTAAGAGTTAGTTTCTTAGGGATTTTTTTGCCTTCAAAGACAAAGTACTTACAGTAGCCTAAGGGAGTCTCCAAATGTTTTATGTATTTATTAAGTATAATAGTAGGAGAATTTTGTGTCTTGCCATACATGGAAATATGGTGCCAATTATGCCTATACATTGTCATCTCAATGAAATCTCTGATTTGATTATGGGATATTGTTATTTCTAAATAAAAAATTTAGAAGGTTTTGGAAAAATTATAATCCCCAAAGTTCTCTGTTGTTTACACTGCATGTGAAATACCAAAATAAACTTCGAGTTATGATTAACAGACTGTTAGCTAGTTAGATCCATTCTTTAAAAACTAGTTACTGAGGCCCTCCCTGGTGGTGCAACTGGTTAAAAGCACAGCACTAAAAAGCTAAAGCCACTTCCACATGAGTTCGATCCCTCCTGGGAGGTGACCCACATGGTGCGGCAGACCTCTCCTGATGTGCCCGCTCAGGAGTGTACTTTGTTGGTTGGTTTGTTCTGCTCCCCACTCTGTCTCTGGTGAATCCTCTCACTGCACCTGCACCTCTCCCCTATACCCCAGCTCTGTATGCATAAATAAATAAATCTTTAAAAAATAAACTAGTTACTGAACTAGCCAATTTAATAATTATTGCAAATTACTATTGTGATATTTTTATAGAAAAAATATATAAAGAATTATAGCTAATAGGCCAAAGTGTCTGTAAAATTAAATGTTAAAAATTCAATTAAGCCAACTAGAAGGCAAAAGTACAGGGGAAAGGAACAGAGTAGACAGTATTAGGCAAATAAGAAACAAAAGAGTCATATGATAAAACACTTTTAAATATCCTAAGTATTCTGTTTATACGAAAGTTATTGTAAATATAAAGTCACATTTAAAAAGTAAAATGATGGATAAATATTATGTAAATGCTGATCATAAGAAAGCTGAAGTGGGTGAGTTATGAAACAAAACAAATGAGAACAAGTCAACTTATTAGAGATAAGGAGAAGAATTTTATAATGATATAAGTGTCAACAATTATTTCTTGCAGTGGGACTTGAGAGAGCTTTTCAGAGTGAAGTAGTATTTTCTTTATTGGTATTGGGTATTGGGGTGTGTCCTTTTGTTAAACCATCAAATTGTCCCCTTTAAGTGAGTATACTTATGGCATGTAAATTGTATCTTAAGTTAAAATAGAAAAATTGATATTTTTCAACTGAACCACCAGTGGTGTTACAGCATGCTCTTTGGCCAGATAACCAGCAACTAATTCCTGTCTCCTTACCATATATAAAATTAACTAAATCAGCTGATTTCTCTGTGCTTCACTTTCTCTTTAATGTAGACATTGTTGTCATAGTTAACTGGTGTGTAAGGATTTTTTTTTTTTTGTTGTTTAAGGATTAAATAAATTAATGCAAAGTGCTTTGAATGCAGTGTCACAGCAAGTACTCTATAGATGGTACCTACGATGATATCCTGTGACCTCTGCTTAACCCTGATTAACAGCGGATGCTTCTGACAATTTGAAACATTTTAAAGATTTATTTATTTGTGCATACAGAACTGGGGCACAGGCCAGAGGGGCAGGGGTGGCGAGAGGATTCACCAGAGACAGAGTGGGGAGCAGAACAGGCAGATCGACGAAGTACACTGCTGAGGGGAGCAGCGGGCAGGTCAGGAGAGGTCTG